AGATTGGTTTTTTCTATTATTTTCATTATTCTATCATTTTCATTATTCTATTATTTTCATTATTCTATCATTTTTGTCATTTTTATCGTGCGAAGTGGTACAGTTAGGATTCATAATGATACCAATATATTGATATAATAATTTTTTGGACCATTAGACATTGGACAATGTCCAATAAAATTTAATAACGATAATAATATTAAAAATGGTTACGTACGTATCATATATTTTTTACCTTTTTTTTTGGACGATTTGGTAAACAAAAATGCAAGACAAATTATTTTTGAGTACAATTAATGTTTATTAATCGTAACGGTAAGTAGTTTTACATAAAAGTCAAATTTTACTAAATAAATTATCTTTTACTTATTAACGTTAAATAAAGTTGTTCGGATAATTAAACTACATATATCTTAAAAGTTTCATACTGATCTAACAACTTTCTATTATTTAACTCTTGCATTTTACTTTCATCGATTGTAAAAATGCAAAAATGTGTTAATAAAAATTTTTTTGAAACTTTCAGACGTTAATAAAATAAGACAATTTACTTACATAGTAAATAACTTATTGAAGTAATTTATTTATTACAAAATATTTTTATGTCCAATAAAAATTTTAACGTAATGCCCAATCGAATTATTTGGACAAATTTGACATTGTCCAAATGTCCAAATTGTCCAAATTGTCCAATGTCCAATACGTATACTGGTATAACGTGTCACTCTGTCTCGATTTATGAATTGTTACGTCACTAACAGCTAGCTTTTTACCTCTATACAAACTATATGTAGTGTCAAAGTAGGTGCATTTTTTCACTAACACAATGAAAAGTATAGCAAATGTTACTAATTGGGAACTAAGTACGAATAGTGATTTTCTTTTAGTGGTATCGCGAGATGTGAGGTTTGCATTGTTTGACTTTAGTCTTAACTACACACTAAATTCTCAACTCTCCCCCTTGACGGTTCGATGATGTATTCGGAACCCACTTGTATCTTACCAAGTATGGTTACGCAAACCGCATTCTATTGTGGTCATAGCCCATTTCAAAAAAAAAAAAAAACTATATACGTATAAAAGATGCTGTAACACTCTAAATTGTTAATATATTTCTGCTCATCTCGCAAAACCTACCTTTCTCTCATCCTTTAAGTTGCTTTAAACATATCTCTCAACGTTGACGACAAAGCGTCCAACTCGCCTAGAAAGTTTGTGTTTATAATAAAAGAAGGATAAAAAGTTTTTTGTCGATTCACTTTAACTAAAAAATTAAAGATTTTTTGACAGCAAAAACGCATTAAAAACATGTCAATTGAACTTGAACCACAATCCCAGCTCTCTTTTCATCGTAAGTATTTGCTTTATGGTCTAACGCTTTAAAGCAGATTTAAAGAAATTGCTTTTCTTGTACAAATTGTAATGTTTGTATATCTGCTTTGAGGATTTGAACAAATAATGAGGAATAATGAGAAGCTTGTTAGTTACCGCGGGCATAATATAGGCAATGATTTATAATATTTGGAATTTTGTCTTAAAAAAATATAGGTCCTTTTACACAACTTGTTAAAGAGATTCTTGTTGTACGTAATCCGAACCATGAACCTGTTGCATTCAAAGTTAAAACTACAGCTCCTAAACAGTACTGTGTGAGGCCAAACTCAGGTCGAATTGAGCCAAATCAGAGTGTTGAGGTTCAAGGTATGCATAAACTATTCAAATTGATTCGCTTATCCTTCTTTTTGGAGAAGAGAGACGCTTGAATTACGCTAACGGCATTGATTTCAAAATAGTTATTCTTCAACCCATGAAAGAAGATCCACCCCCAGATTTTAAATGTAAAGACAAGTTTTTGGTACAAAGTATAGGAATTACACCAGAACGTGAAACATTATCTTTACAAGAACTGGTAAAAATTATATTTATATATATAAATTATAAATATCATTAGTATTTAAACTCTTGTAAGATGTTTAATTAATGACACTTATTTTCTTATTCGTAATTATTTGACTTAGTGGGCTATAACGGAGAGAGAATCAAAAGATACGATCAAGGAAAACAAGATCCGATGTGTATATTTACCACCGGTTGGAAATAACTTATCTCCAACATTGTCATCTCCAAATCAACCTCTTCCAGTTCAACCATCCATTCCAGTTGTTCCATCAAGTCCACCATCAGGGGACAGTGCCTATTCTGAATCTCAAAAATTGAAGGTAAGCATACATCTTTTATATTTTCGTTATTCAAAGTTGCTAATAGTCAATATATTTCATAATTTCAGAATGATCAACCTTCACCACCGCCATACACAAATGATATTTATCCAATTGAAAAGAATTCTTTGGGACATTCAGACAAATCGATCTTAACGCAGGCGGCCACCACAAATGGTCACTCGAATACACAACGTACACCTGCAATCGTTGGCGCGTTCCCCAAAGATGATGCATTCGAATCTCATAATATTGCCAAGCCCTTCAGAGATGATGATGATCCTGCAAAATTACGACGACAATTGCTTGAAGCAAAAGAGGAGATTGATCGTTTGAATCACATGGTTGAAAATTACAAACAAGAATTGAACACAGCTCAGATGAGACAACGTAAGAGCGAAGAAGCTGCTGCTTCATCGAACAGGCATAGTGCGTCTGCCATTGGTGGTTATTCCGTCAAGACTCAAGAAAAAATTCCTGAAGGTTACTACCCGTTCGAGGTGGTGGTTGGCGCTGCAGTTGGCGCTTTCCTATTTGGAGTTATGTTTTTCTGAATTACGTTTATCCGTTGATTTCAAGGTACGTGTAGAGATTGGTTTTTTCTATTATTTTCATTATTCTATCATTTTCATTATTCTATTATTTTCATTATTCTATCATTTTTGTTGTTATTATTGATGATTGAAAGGATATAATTAACCATATTTTACCCTATATTTTTAGGTATGAATGTCTTTATTTGGTTCATTATTACTATAACGGTCGACACGCCACGAACTCTCCCTAATTCCATTTATGCTTTTTTACTATACAACTTTAAACCAATTTAATAATATAAACATTTCGGTGCGATGCTAGTTTCAGTAATTTTCAGTAATTTCAATATTATCTATTGCAGAATTCCAATCGCTTAATTTGAACAAATATTCCTAAAATGTATTAATTTGCTTATTTTTTATTTTATTTTTCCTTGTCTTTTTTTATTTTAAATATTATGAGTGTTTGCACAGGAAGATTTTGTGGTTACTATCTCTGAATATTGCGGTATAAATATATTCGTATACATTTAATTGTTTTTAAGTATAATTTTTTAGGAATGTAAATATTTATGGTAGGTAATGATTGGACTCATGTCAACTCGTGATTCAACGAATTAATCTCAAATACTCGAATTATTTGATCTAGTTAATTTATTCGAGTTTTGTTCTAGTTACTCGAATTACAAAATTTTTATTATCAAGGTAAATATATCATATCCCGATCCGCAAAGTCAATTTTATTTATTGGCATGCGTAATAATTGCTAAAATTTCATGTTTTGAATCATGACAAAATTCGCGTTATTCGAGTTACGAGTTGATTAGTCCAATCATTAATGGTAGGTTAAAGTTGCGATATAATATTCCTAATTTACTGGTAACCTCAAATGGACCATAGAATGCGAACTTGTTATATAAGACATATTAAAAGTCGATTGGTCTGAAAAATTTGATCCACTCTGTTCCTAAAAATGACTGCACCCGGAATTTTATATAAATATTAGCATTATCCCCGACAAAAATTCTATTGCATGTACCGATATGATCCATTTGATTTTAACTATTCACCGGTAAAATATTGTGTTAAAAGAATTTGCGCGTTATTTTTGATCATCTGCGAGTACTTGTTTTGTATTATTCCCGTCAAATGTTTAAAAAAATTATATCAAAAGATTAAATATATGCAAAATTGTGAACTAATATTGAAATTTAGGAGTTTGATTTGATTTACTAAATTTATTAAACCTTAACATAAACGAGTTATATACTGAAATTACAATTTTATTTGTTTTGGATAACCACTAGAGATATTACTGACTGGAGCCGGTTTACAAATTTTTACAAAAATGAAACTCAGATTATAGATTATTAAATCTAATGTATCTGCAACCTAAACCTATAGAGTGGTTAAAATTTATCTAGATAGAATAATTTAAGATATGATTGGTAGGAGTATTTTATTTAATCTATTCAGTTATCTATTTTTTTAATAATTGTACTAAGTATAGAACAAAATTTATAATTATTACCTGTATGTTGTTGGTTGGGAAAATTACAAATACAATTATAAGTATGTGTTGTTTTAGAGTATTAGAAAATAGAGTTAAGTAGATTTTTTGTTGTTTGTTGGTTTTGCAAAATACTAACTTGATATTTTGTTTTGTTGGTTCTATTTTGCTAGTTTTGTATAATAGGTTTTTAATAGTAGTTGTAAATATTTTGTGAAAGTTGTAATTGAATTTAATTATTATATTGGTAGTTATTTTGTTGCTATTTGTGTATTTTTAAATAGTTTGAATTAATGCTACTAGAGTATTATATTTTTTTTATTGGTATATATATTAATGTTGTTTGGTTGTTGTTGGTTTAGAGAAAGGTATTAGTAATTGTTAAGTTGGCTATATAACTTTTGAAGTTATATAGTTGTAATATTTTAAAAATTAAAAAATTTATTGTATAGTATTTAGATATTAATTAATAAATATAGATAATTTTATATATTTTAGCATAATTATATTATTATTATTTTTTTTGACATGTTCTGTCACTGTTTTTATTAGGATAGTAATCAAGCAAAAATTACAAGAATTTTTAACTATAGTTATTCTTTCTTTAACTGCAACAAGTACTTATTCAACTTAAAAGCCCAAGTGCAATATTATCTAGTAGTCATTTGCCTCACTCCAGACTCCTAACTTCCTAGAGGCATAAATCCTTCGATCATTGGCCAGTGCCATACACCATATTAGTATTATCTTTTCTTTTTACAAAATGAAATACAAATACAAAATCAAAGGACAAAAGAAAAAAAAGAAGTGATACCTTGATATTCAAGTTCGATCTACCTAATCAAATAAAACTAAAAAATATATAAAAGAAAAACAAAATAAAAGAAAAAAAACAAAAAAAGCACTTTTAAACCCATGCCAGATGGTAAAAATTATGTAGTATTACTAAATAATCTAGTTTAAACTTTATACTAGTTATTTATAATTATATTAAGATATATAAAATATCTATTCTTGAATAGAGGTTCAAGTTTGAAATTTTTCTTGTAGTCTCACCAGGTTCTGTGCGATATCCTGCAACATATTCTCATGCTAGTGCTTGTCCCTAGGCAAAGTTAAGCAATTGACACTTTTTCAGCTTCTGTAGATCTCAGTATAAACACTATAACCTCTTAAGATAACCAATCAGATATTATTAATCCTAAAGTAGACATATACTTCTATACGTAACTTTTCTTTTTTAGCAGTGATTGTTGTTATCAATCCTTTAATAGGAGTATGTTGACTTTTCTACTTTTTGTTGAAATTTTGTAAAGAACAAAGAGTAAGATTTTGGTAGAGGGTTTCAGTTTTCAGATAGTCTTAAACTTCAGTAAGGAATGTATTAAAAACTTGCTTGTTGTTCTCCTTAGACCAACTATTTTTAACTTCGTCAACAAAAGCAGAGCTTTTATTAAAAGTTTCTATATAAGAATACCACCTTCTTGCCAATTATCTTGTACAGAAATGCTTTTAACTTGTATACAGAATATACAAAAGAGTCCAGGAGAATAAAAAAAATCTTGACTTCTATAAGAATCATTATTTGTAGTTGTTTCTTCTACTTTTCTCTAACAAGTTTTTATTTTCGTTAGCTGTAAGTTTGGTACAAGTGATTGTTAAGGAGAGTTCTATTTGTATATATAACAACCTCATATTAGCCAATAGTAGTTAGAATTAGAGTTTAGATTATATAAATTTTAGTTATTTTTATTAATTATACTAAATAAGTTGTTATAATTGTATATATATATTTTTTGTTATTAAATCACTATAATGTTAGAACTTTATTTATATCATGATACAGGATACTTATAGTTTTAGTATATAAATTGTGCTATATTATTTTTAATATTATCTATTCTAAATGATTTGGTTATAATTTTTCTCTAATTTGAAACTAATCTACAGCATTATATTATCTATTAATTTTAGATAGAATACAACCTCCTATTCTATACAAAATTTTATTTTATTAATAACTGTCTTCTACTTTCTGTAGCAACCTTTTATTTTTTTAGCTTGATATCTGCTAGAAGTTTTCACTTTTAGTACTCCCACATGGTCCTTATATATTGGTATCAAATAGTATAATTAAATTTATTAAATTTTAACAAAAATTTATCTAAAATATAACTATAAATTATAAAGTATTATTTTATAAGAGAATATTTTTATGGCACTACAGTGCCACAGCACTAGGGCATTATAGCCAATCAAAATTTAAGATCAGACATAACGTATAGATCAGCTTCGTGTAATAAAAACAAAGAATTTTTTAAAAAATTAATTATATCTCAAAATTTTGTCTATGAAACCACTTTTTGGGCTCTAACAAAAAAAATTCCTTGCACAATTTTACTTTAGTTTTTGTTTAACCCCAACATCAAGATCTCACCCTTACCCTAATATT